AAAAAAAAAAAAAATACAAAAAATTATCCAGTCGTGGTGGTGAGTGCTTGTAATCCCAGCTATTCGGGAAGCTGAGGCAGGTTCAATCTCTTGAACCTGGGAGGTGGAGGCTGCAATGTGCTGAGATCAGGCCAATGCACTTCAGCTGGGACAAGAGGGAAACTGTGGGCTGGGCACGGTGCCTCACACCTGTAATCCCAGCACTTTGGGAGGTTGAGGAGGGTGGATCACGAGGTCAGGAGATCGAGATCATCCTGGCTAACACTGTGAAATCCCGTCTCTACTAAAAATACAAAAATTAAACGGGCGTCGTGGCGGTGCCGGTAGTACCAGCTACACGGGAGGCTGAGGCAGAAGAATGGTGTGAACCCAGAAGGCGGAGCTTGCAGTGAGCCGAGATTGCACCACTGCACTCCAGTCTGGGCGACAGAGTGAGACTCCGTCTCCAAAAAAAAAAAGTGAAACTGTGTCTCAAAAAAAAAAACAAAAAACAAAGTAATTTACTAGCCGTATATACCTACTATGCAAACATAACAAAATGAAAAACATAATTTAATCTAGGACAAGACAGCTGAAATAGTAAATATATACATTAGGATAAAATGTTCATTAAATTTTTCATACCGTATCATGGAAAGAACAGAAATTGAACAATAGAAAATATTAATATATACAGGAAGTGGAATGACAAGAAAGAACGTGTCTGTCACGGTTTCAGAATAAAAGAAGGAAGAAGGATGTTAGTTTACGATATGCATGAAGCGCTAATGGTTGAAAGTTTTATAGAACTGAAAACATCAGTTTATAACTAAATTTAATATCTCGATCATGGTAAAGTGAAAAACATGAGGCATCAATTTAAAATAATCCTAAAACTACCAGAGAAAATGTAAATGACCCTTGAATGAATGAAAAGGTCATCGGGCCTGGAGTTTGAAAAAGCAAACAGCAGCCCCAGAAGATACAGGAGAAACCACCACAAGGGCTTAATTGTGAGGAGAGAGCTCTGTGCTGGGACTAGTTATTACTATTATAAGTATTATTTATTATTATTATTATTATTAGTTTTTGAGATGGAATTTCGCTCTTGTTGTCCAGGCTGGAGTGCAATGGCGCGATCTTGGCTCACTGCAACCTGGCCTCGTTATTATTAAAGGACTAAGTTTCAGAGTCAGCTCTGGATAAATCCTAAAACACAAGGAGACTCAGGACATTTGAGTCGTCAGGTCAGGTGGTGGTCTTATGAGGAATAAGGAGGGCGTTTTTAGTGTCCTTTTATCAGGTACCACAATAATAACAGACAAAGAGAGAGATTGAGACAGACATAGAGAGAGATGGAGAGACAGAGAAAAAGAGAGAGATATTGAGACAGACAGAGGGAGAGGGAGACAGAGAGAGAGAGAGAGAGAGAGAGAGAGAGAGCGCGCGCGCCAGGCATCGCTGGAGCTGCAAGGCTGCAGATATGTTTGCATCTAGGCCTTTCTGAAAGCCATACTAAAGATGTAAATCAGGGAGTGGAATAATGAACCCCAAATGGAGAAGATGAGATGCTACTGTGAATAAAAGAAGTCAACAGTACATTCGAAAAACTAATAAGCATAGATCTATCTGTAATCTGTGTATATACAAGTATATACATTTCTACTAAGAATCTGAAAGAACAAGGAAATGGATTTGCGTCTCTGGAGCCTCCAGAAAGGAATGCAGCCACGTCATGGCCTTGATTTTGTCCTAAAAGACCTGTTCAGAATTCTGATATTCAGAACTGTGAGATAATGAGTTTGTGTTGCTGAAGCTGTTCAATATGTAGTAATTTGTTATGGCAGCAATAGCAAACCAATACTAACACAAACAGCCTTTGAAAAGAAAAATAGTTGATATTTCATAATTTTAAATCAACAGTCTGTGAAGAAGAGAAAGTTATACACTTTCACTCAACCAACCACATGTCCTTAAAATTTACAATTTACAAAGCATCAATTGAGACACAATGGAGGATTTGGAGAAATATTGATCAGACTTTGATAAAGTGAACAAAATATTTGTGAGAGCTGAATGGCACAAATATTCAATCTGATGTGCATTTATGATGTTTCGATTGTTTCTATATATTGTAAATTTGTATAGAAACATTTCTGGAATATACATATAGCAACAAAGTGGGAATGTGTATTTCTTCATATATTTCTTTTTGAAACAAGGTCTCTCTCTGTTGCTCCATCTGAAGAACAATGCCACTGCACTCCAGCCTGGGCAACAGAGCAAGACTCCATTAAAA